ACACGTGTGCACCCGTGTTAAATTGTCCCACAACATGCGGTTTTTCACGAGGGTGTGCATACCGATGCACAGACAACGCAATTCAACACGTCTTCGTTTTATGGACCGATAATTTATAGGAATTTGCAAACACGAATGAAACCTCAAACGCTGGTTTCAATTTTTGAAACGTGCTGTCGCGTCTCGTGGTATTGCGCTAACTGCTGTATGCAATATGCACATCTAAGAAGGCACCACAATGTTTCCTACCTCTAGTTTAAACGTACCGGCGTGGCTTCCGTTCTTTCGATTCTATATTCGTAGACATTTATTTCATACATTAATGTGTTTAGTATTATTTTTCAATCAGTTAATCGTATTAGTAAACAACACTAGAATAATTTATCTGATCGTCTTGATTGATGAATACATTAGTTGAATAATTTCAATGTAATCTTTTGGATATCGTCATTCTGACACAGTCGTATGGTATCGTTTATGAGAATGGACAATAAAATTTTATAAAGTAATACTAGTATTATTACAAAATCTTACAGCTCATTTTCATAAACGATACCAGACGACTGTATCCGAATGAAAATATCGAAACCATTACATTGAAACTATTCTACCAATTACCATCAAGTACTTTGGTCAACTGAATAACATAGTACCACGTTCTCGATTAATAAAAAAATATCTATAATAATTGTTTAAACAATTGAACTTTTGGCTCCAAAATACCAAAGATCAATATTTCACAATAAATTAATATATGTATGTTTATAAATATACTTTCAATAGAAATTATTTCTGAATTGTATTACTAATAACAAACGCGGCGTACAAGAAGACCCTAGCCTAACTAAGAAATACAGAAAAACAGATCAATGTCACTACTCGCGGATATGATTGCATATCCGCGTTCACTGTACTCGCAATATTAAGCACGTATACAACCAGTCACCCGTGTCGCTTTGGACCAATCGTCCTACGACATGATTGGGGACCGGAGGAACAAAAGCATGCGACTCACCCGATGACAGAAGGGCTCCGTCGAAGACTCTAGGAATCTGGAAAAAAAAGAAACAAAATGCGTTACAATCTCTTCTCAACATTTTAGCTATTTCGATTGAATAATGTAAGTAAGAATATTTAAAGATGCTTACAGTCTTGGCGGGTGGAGCTTCGCCCGAGGACATCCTCTGGAATAATCGTTGATACAGCGCCTGATGAATCTGATAAAAAAGGAACAGAAATCGTTACAACCTCCTCTCAAAATTCTAGCTGTTTCAATTGAATAGTGTAATTAATAAAATATAAAGATACTTACATCCTCTGTAAACAGAGCTGCGCAAAAATATTTTCTTCGGTGATGCACTGACTCTACATTTGCGACTCAAAAAGCTTAAAGTGTCCGGACACTCTGACAGTAATTGATAACACGCAATAAACACTGACTCTAATTTCGCGAAAACCTAACATCTCCGGTGAGATTCTACACGGAGCCAGTTCGCTCCGCATAAATTAAAAATCTTGTACGATATAAACACTGACTCTATTCGACCGCATTGCGCGCGGCCACAAAATTCTCTGAAAGAAAAGTACATGGGAAATATAAGGCACACTTGTGCCTGCCTACTGTTTTAGTTTCTGTATCCTACCAAGTGTTTGTCGAGAAAATATTGCCTTTCGGTAATTCGCATGAGTTCAAATATTATTAAATATTACATAATAATTATTCAATTCAATATAAATATATTGAATCTGTTATACTTATATATTTAATATTTATCTATTATATTAAAGACATTTGTTGTTAGAGCTGTGAGCACGTCCATTTTCTGTATCTAAACCACGTCCCGATTTTTGTAAATATTCAGAAAATCATTACAAATATCAAAGTTGCGTTATTTATCCGTGCTTCGATGAGCACGATGAATTACGCAATATCTATATAATCAAACCTACAACCGAAACCGTATGCAAATGCAAACACGATGGTTCCATAAAGATAGACAGATGAAATAATTAATATTAAAACAATTTCGCGACCGTGACACAGGAAATTACGAATATTTCGAATTTAAATGTTTAAAAGTAATGTTCAAATTTTCTAATGACCACGGTAGCCATTTTTCATTCTTCAATTGCGCAGTTTAATTCACTGTATATACTTCCCGGAAGAATTCTCGTTCGATCTTTGCACAATAGATAAAAAAATCGCGATCATACTTACGACGAGACATAATAGAAACGCGATAAAATAAAAATATATAGTGGACGATCACCTATTTGTTGCAACATATTACCATGTTTCACCAATTTTCCGGAGTGTTGCTATTGCCATGGTGTCAGGGGGCACGTCCTTTCCAACCGATGTTCTGAAACAGAGAATAAACGCGTTTAAACCAAGCAATTACAATAAATTACCAATGGTTTCGTTACAAATAAATAACTATTGTACTCGAAGTGTGCCGTAAAAGATTGTAAATGGAATCAGAAATGCGTAAATACTGCCGGCGTAGACAAAGGAAGTCGCGAAAACCGATCACTTTCTCCCGTAATATCGAATGAATTCACGATAATTTACTCGAAATTGAATAAATATTAAACGAAAGTAACGATAAAGAAATAACGAAGTCACTAATATTTGGTATAAATGATTAGATGTGAAAAGTAAAGATTACGTACACTTCGATGGAAGCGAAGTCACGTCACGTCTTGTCACTTCAACTTGTGCGAGACGAATGACCCTTAGGCCGTCTTTGACTGCTCGCGTTAGGGACATTGTTATTGGTGGTTCGACGGGTGAAGGTAGCTGTCCTCCCCTCCCCACTTCAATTTCTAGTTTAACGAAATAGAACATTCAGTACTATGTGCCACGCCGGTACCTTCTTTTTTTGCGTATACGTGCGGTTAGCTCAACGAGCATTGACCCACCTCAAACGGAATAACAAACGCACAAGGTCGTATTCTCACGATTCTCGGAAATTTTATTTCGCAGCACTTCAATGGGTATAAACAATGAGAGCCATATGTTTCGTGCCTTTGTTTGACCAGTTTTCGAAATAAGGTCGTATTCTCACGATTCTCGGAAATTTTATTTCGCAGCACTTCAATGGGTATAAACAATGTGAGAGCCATATGTTTCGTGCCTTTGTTTGACCAGTTTTCGAAGACTGGCATTCCAATGTATCCTACGACTAATGAATGAATTCAACCGCGTACATATCCCAGGCTATTTTCGAAAATTTGTTATGTCAATTCGTTTCGGATGGAAAGCATTGATGTATAATGCCTTGTGGTATTTATATTGCCCTTTTGTCAAAGTTTTGAATACGATGTTTTTCTGAACACCATCTGTGATAAATACGTCCCGTCAAATATTTGACAATTACGCCAAAGTTTATGAAATACAATCCGACAGATATTACCAATTAAATAATAGATAAAGGCTTTCCTTTATGGGGGAAATGAAGAAAATGCATGGCAATATCGTGGAAGTTTGGTTTACTGAGCTCTAGTTGGGTTGAAGTTCATTATATAATTTCTCGCAATAAATAAAATTATTGTAAATAAATGATGTTTAAACAAAGTTATGTGTAAAAATTCACCAATCGCCAGAAGGTAATTTATTTTTCGTATTAAGATTCTTATATCACGTTATTAGATAAAAAATACATAAAAACTACAAAAAAGAACGTATAAAATGTAACATTGCCAAAATGCCCATTTATGATGCATTTCGAATAATTTATCTTATAGATAAGTCGGAAAATCTATACTTTGAGGCGTCATATATTATTAGAAAATTGTCAAAGTTCCATTTATACCAGTATCCTGTCGAAATGTTCATTGTTCCAGCAACTATTGTATTCTAATAAAAAGATGAGAAGACGAACTAAATAATTACATTTATTTATTTATCAATTTTACAGTATAACAGTGTATACGATACGCTGAATATAGAATAATCTCTGCTCTTTATCGTTTACTAATTAAGGCGATTAGTATGTGAGTGATCGGTAAGAACATACATAATATAGCACGTGTAATTTATTGGTCATCAGTGATCACGATCCTTTATTGTTCGCATCGAACGACTCTATTCTTATCGTGATTTTCTTCGATTCTTCTCGTACGTCTCCGTGTCGAGATTTTCACACGCCGTTCTTTCGCATGCGAGTCTGTTTTAAAATCGACGACATAATAGATCTCTATCGAGTACCATGTAATGATCATTACTTCGTAAAGACATTATTAGTTATTCCTATGTACTCGTGCGGATAAGGCCACATTAGTGTTTTCCGCGTGTGCGTGTGCGCACACACGTTTCATGTATGCGTGTACAGGTGCGTCAGATTCCCTTTGTTTTTGTTTCCTTGCTCTTTGAAGTTATCAACAGTGGGTTCGTGTGCAGAGTCGCGATTATTTCTCGAGGGGAATACACGGGGTAACATTTTCACGGATGCCTCTCACCTTTGAGAATCTAAGTTCCGGAAGTATTTTGTCCTCAAACACTCGACCATTCAAAGTTCTCGATTTTGGTATCCTATTCGAAGTGACAGGCGTTCTTAACTCCGTAAGAATTTCGATCGTGGCTTCCCTCGATCTTTGAAAACTTCAGAACTCTCTTGTTCTTCGGGAACAAAGATCCTGAAGGCTCGAACTTTCAGAGATCGCTAAAAGATGCGAAATTTTTGTTATCATCGCGAGAACTTTCCACACGACCTCTATTTCGGTTAATCGTTTATCGATTTCTCGATCGTTGCACGAGTCGTACCCCGACAGTATCGCCACGGAGTACGGTGCGATAGCACGTGTGTACGACGCCTGCTCCGAATAAATAGTGTAGGTACACGTCTACCTCGCTGCATGTATGCGTGTGTCTGTATGTGTGTGTGTGTATGTATATATGCGCGCGCGCGCGTATGCGTGTGTGTGAGTTGAAGTTAAATAAAAATAACATTATTATATGTATATCAAATTTAGTTCCATAAGAATATATAGGATTCATCTTCGTTTTCCTCGCGTTAGTCGCGATCGTTCCTCGCCGCTCGTTATATCTCTACCATTGTACAAAGCGAAAAAAAAAAACAAATAACGTTAAGATAACAATCACGACGGTACACGTAGCTTGGTTCTTCCTAACTCAACACAGCGTAACAATTCGACGACGGTAATTACGTTAAGGCGATTTGATTTCTCGGACTTCTCAAGGCATGATCGATACTCCGATGCCCTGACATTTTGTCCCATTGAACGCTCGCGTCCCCTTGTCTTCATTCATTTCGTGCTTCTCCAACAATTTCTACTATCAATCTCCGATGATGGCTGGTCGTGGCAACGGAGTAATCGAAATCATGAACGACTACGGTTTCTACAACTACGAAGAAGCTAGGAGATCGCTCCCGTGTCTGGTTGCAGTGTTCCGGCTTCGTAGTGAACTTGCGCGCGCGTGAACCGATGTCGAAGGCTCGTCGCGAGACAATCGGACACGAGGAGATCTCGTCCCAGTGGGGCTTCGGTTTCAATAAAAAGTACCGCGTTTCCCAATTACGGGGATGTACATATATATATATTTCCTGAAAATATAATCGAGAGCGGGCGGGGAAAGGAGAAACACGGCAGTTTTTATCGTCGTTTATCCCTGGATTCCAAAACGGTCGACGGTTCCTATGAAAATTTTCTTTTGTTCGCGGTTAAATTCGATCGTAGGGGGTGGGGGTGGGGTTGATATATATTTTTTTGTTCGTTACAGGAACGGTATGTGTTCTCGTTCCGGGGGTGATGGGCGGGGATGATCGTGTGTGGCGAGGGTGGTTGACTGTTGTATACGCTGGACCCGATGATCCCGATCTCGGTCCGTTATTCTCCCCGTCTTCTAGCTGGATTTTTTGTTTCGATCGACCGGTACGCGCCCTAAAGATCCCCCCCCTTTACATCAGCTTCATCTTGGCGCATTCTGGGCAGATGATGTCCTCGTTGTCGGTGATGAAACCACGGCCGACCAGCGAGGTTTTACAGCCAGCGCAGATGAAGCAGTCGTTATGCCAATGCCTGTCCTCGAAAGAGATGAAGCGAGTGCCGCCAATGCCTGTGAACAGAATCGAACCAGTTTTCATCTATGTTCTCCTTTCAGCACCAATAGTGATAATACAGTCGAATGGTGTTTACCAGTGATCGGTTTGGAGCACGCGGTGCATCGCTTTGCGAACAGCTCGCCGAAGCAGTCGGCGCAGTACGGTTTGTCGTCGCGGGAGGTGAATCGCTGGCCAGCCAGTGAATTGTTGCAGTTGCTGCAGGTGAAGCAGTCCCTGTGCCACGGCTCGTTCTTATACGTCACGCCACCGCTAGTGATGATCTGCAACGCGATAGATTGCCTTTACATATATTCGATTCAGTTTACGATCCCGTGTAACACTCAATAATTGTTTATTGTTAACCCTTTAGCTACGACGTAGAGGGACTTTCCGCAGAGCTGTACCGCAATGTTTGATTCTTTCTATTGTGCATTTAGCCACGTTTGAAAGTAAATAATGTACATGATTTTCAACGAAATATAAACAAGTCAGCCACTATAGTGTGGGATGTAAAAGAGTGTCTGTATACATATAATTGTATATTATTCGAGTTGAAGTTGTTGCGTCGCGTATACAGTTTTTAGAAATACCGTTATAGTCATTTTACCACATGGTACATTTAAAAGCACTGTAAAAGTGTCAGTCAACATCTTACCTCGCATTGAATCCTATAATAGTACCATTCAAAAGTGTCACTTAGAGGAAAGCCACTACAAGTAACTAAAATGTTAAGCTCTACTTCCGTAATATCGACACAGGCGAAACGGAGGTATAGTTACCTTGTTACACTTGACGCATCGGGTAGCGAACTTGTCCTCGTAGCAACCGGCGCAGTAGATCTCCTGTTCGCGCGGGATGAAGCTCTTCGTACCGATCGGATTCTTGCAGACCACGCAGCAGAAGCACTTCTCGTGCCACTGTCTGGTCTTGTACTCCATCTTCTTCGTACCTGAAAAAATCGTGCGACAAATTCAATCGAGACGTCTATCGATTTTTAGCAGCCGTGTCTTTTCATTCGAATAGCCATCCGCAATCCTAGCTCGACCGTTGTTATTATTATTTCACCGAGTTCCGGATAATTTCACGAGGGGGTGGTCCGCTAGCCACGCGCTAAGGGGTTGTACATTTCAGTGCCTAGAGTCTAGACGATCGCGTGAGGCGCCTGACACAAGCTGCGGTGCTCGCGTGTCTGCTGGCACATCCGATTTGCACCGGCTGCAATACCCAGAGAATGAATTTTCCGGCAGCTCGGTACTTCGAGGAAAAGTAATCTGCCAGCGGAACGATTCGAGCTCGTATCGTCCCGCCAATTGTTATCTTACGTTTCTACGTTAAACACTTTTCGGGAGAAAATGTCGATACTCCATCGTTTCGTTTCAAATGGAAGAATCGATCGATGAATTTGGTTGGAATACCGATCCAACTTTTGCAGCGGCGTGTTTGCTCGAGACGGCCTAGAAAGTTCACAGGCAGTTGCAAAAAGTCGCGCGAAACCGGAAGATCAACAGTGCAGATACGTGTCATCTTCCGCGATGCGGTTTTAAAAGTTTCGCAGAACTTTCTAGTCACAGCTGCTAATAACCTACATGTGCAACGCGGCTGAATGCATCAACGTCGATCGTGGTGTAAAAAAAGGAAAACTATTTACCGTGCTTGAGTATAATGGCCCTTCTAGAGTCAGAAGATCGCTCGAAATGCGTGACCCGTTTCCTCTATAATTCGTATCCGATTGACCCTTTTCCCCCGCAAAAAAATAATGCCCACGATCGATGGAAAGAAAAGCTCGACGACCCTACGATAGTTCCGTTTGATCGATCGGTGCTCGTGATCTCGCGATCGACGAAATTACCGTGGAGCGAGAAGCAGACCCGCTTATTGGCCCACCTATAATTGGTCGGTGAACGCGACCGATCGTTTACTCCCACGCGATTTCAGCTATTTTTTTTTTTTTTTTTTCGATCATCCCGGTGTGCCATTTCTATATGGAAACTGAGATTAGTCACGAGGAGCATGGAAGCCGCGTTTATGGTCACGAAGTAACCCGACGTGTGCCCGCGTACTCGTTCTATTAGCGTTCGTTGCTTCTCCAATGTACACACACATCTGTCTCGGAGTATTGTATTCGGTAACGGAATGATTCAATTCCATTCGACAGAACTGGAGGTCTAAGTGTATACTTCGACGATGTCTTGTTCGTTTATTTATCTTCTTAAGGACTTCACGATCGCGTCCAATCGATTACGATCGAAAGGCCACTCGTTTAACGTAATCGAGAAATCGTCGATGTCCAATCCAGCCGGTTCTCGACGGGACACCGTTCAAAGACGATCAAAGAGAATCCTCGGCTGGTGGGCGTCCAGGCATTTCTCTCGCTCATTAACTTCCCTGTCTTTCGCGAGCTCTCTCTTTCTCGCCGCGCGCCAAGGGCAAGCCAAATTAACAACGACTCGCTATTCCGAAAGGTGATCTAATAGGGCCTAAACAGCCGCAAAGAAATAATCGGGCATCGAAGATGTTCCATGAGTCACGGACACGAAGAGAACACCTTCTTTTCGACGCCTACAGGCTTACGGTTCTTTGAATTTCAATAATTCCTCTCGCGTCGGTATTCGCGGGAGCGATGATCGAACTTTTTCCAAAATTTCCACGAACCCTACCGTGACGCAGCAGGCTTAACCCCTTGGGTACATTTGACGTCTGAGACACGTCATTCACTTTTTTCCCTTAAGAGCGGATAACGTGTCTAAGACGTCAAACCAAAAATTAAACTTTTAGGTACATTTGACATCTGAGATACGTCATTTTTTTTTTTTATTGATCAATTTCATTCATCAATAAAAATATCACACTCTGCATAATTATTAGTAATTGTTTTTTTTTATAAATTGAATTTATTTCATTTAGTTTTATTTTGTTGTTATTAATTTATTTTTGTTTTGCAATTCTAATTAGTTGAAGACATCTTAATACTACATATGTCACCAATATTTTAGAAATAAATACATTCTTACGTAAAATGTACTGCCTTTACATACTACTCCAAGCAACCAAAAATTATTTCCGTTCCACATGCAAATATTTTCTCAAATAAATCCGTACCCAAGGGGTTAATGACGGAACCGGGGATAAAGATAAAGCACTGCTCGTGTGCACGAAGGATCGTCGTATCGAACATCTGCTACCGTTGGACGTCAACACAACGGAAGGCTTTATCGTCGCCGCGAGATTTGATAAATGAACATCGTCGTTGTCCGACGGTTTCCGATCAATCACCCATTACAAATTGCGTATCTGCCGTTCGTAATGGGTGTATCGATAAATTATTATTACAATATACCAACGGCTTAGGTAAGAGACGAAAGATATGTGTAAACCGGTCCAAAGTACAGAACAACTAACGCTCGTTAGGTATTCAGCCGAAAGGATGCAGATTTTCATAATTTGCACGGTAATAGAATGTACCTCTGAGAGTTCCCCGTACCGATTTCCGATCGTGTCACGCGGTTTGCGACGGGGTAACGAGAGAAAAATTCGCAAGGATCAACGAGGTTGTAGGTGGATCTCGATCCCGTGTCAGGGTAGCCTAGATTCCAGTGGCCCTCGGAGGAAAGGAGCTGATCGTGGTTTTCGTGCTCGATTCTTCGTGGTCCACGCATCGTGACTCAGGAGGAGGCACGTGACGTCAGTTCGTCCGAGCAATAGCTCCGTATATGTATAAAGTCGGATGGTCCAAGGCCGACGATGTGGTAATCTCTCGCATTATGCGTCGCCGGCTTAACGCGCCTCGCCACCGTTCGAGACAACCGTGAAAAATCGCGTGCCAGTTCGCTTCGATGTATCCAGGGATTCCATTCGGCGATTTTAATAACACAACCAGTGACACGGTTCTCAATCACTTTCAACAGTTGGTCTCGTTGCATCGAACTAGACGTATTTCCTCGAACACGTGGCTCTCGATAAGAGCGCAACCGATCACGGTTTCGACGAACGACCGAGCATTCTCGGAAGATGACTAGGTAACAGAGAGGTCAAAGATCGCGTGGTCGGGGGAATCATCGTTAACGCGATCGTTTCGAATTTTACGACGCCTCGGAATCGTCGAACTGACGTTAATCCCCCCTGGAAACAGCGATCCTCTATCGACCACGGTCTAAATATAATTTCACGAGTTGCGAAACGAGCGATTCTCCAGTTTCGCGATCCACAGGGAAACGTGTCGGGAGGAATATCTGCGGGGAAAAAAAACGGAGCTTTGGATCCGATTGGTTACCGTGTTTCTTCGAGGAGGGTTGTTAGTTATTACGCAACAGGCGAATATAGATCGTCCTAATAGCGTCCGGTCCTTCTTTAAATCGTCGCCGATTGCACAATCGCGTTCGAATGTTACGTAAATATATTCCTTCCAGTCGGGTCGCGCCCATTCTACGTTTCGATTCGGGACACTGTTGTCTTCTTCAAAATTTCAATCACGCGACAAATTAACGATCGTACGCTTTCGACGATCGAATATGACTAACGTCTACTCGGACAATCGATAGCTTTTAAATTCCATCAATTTGCAACGCATCGACCGATGCAAGTGATCGAACGAGATTACGTGGCGATAAGAAAGCGAATCGATCGATATTAAATGGATCGCACGTGGCATCGCGAGTATTTATAGGATATGTCCGTATGTGGCATTCGGTTTTTAAATCGTTCTCGATCTGCTGCCGCGGAGCGTCGATTTCCCGAGTGCCCTTCCCCGAGAATTTGGCGAAATTCCTCGGCTCTGGTACACATTTTTATATAAAAGAAACGGCGAGTGACATCATTATTGAATCTTACCGCAGCGAATTCCAGGCTGTTTCGCAACGACCGATGACAAACATTGCCTGCACACGGTTACTCGGAGTACTCGAGAGGGTTTCATTAGGGAAATTTAAATTGCCAATTATCCGCAAACAGTTCGAAGCTAACACGCTGCCGGAAAGTGTTTCCGCGGCGACGGGAACTCTGAAGTCAAGGAAAACGGATTACTCGAAGATTGAAACGGCTCGACGCCTGTTGCAATCGGAGCCGGAAGTATCGACGCTTTACCAGTGTTTGTATCACCGATCAAGCTCGCGGCTACATTAATCATAAACGTCTGGACACGGAAATTATCATAGAAACTCGTTGGTTCGGTTGTCTTTCGCGTCCCCTAGATCCCTATCTCTTCGCGAATGGCTACGCTGATTCCGGGATCCTATCCTCGATCATCTTAACCCTTTCGTTTCCAGAAAAAGCTGTCAAATGGCAACACAAAAGAGAAACGTCACTAGACGGTCTCAAAATGTTAAAATATTCTTGAGAATCATTTGCATGTCATCTAATATACACACAAATATAAGAAAATATTACTCTGGTGATTTTTAAATAATTTTGAAATGAAAGGGTTCAAAAATACCCCCTGGACCGTATCGAAAGGAGGCCGTGCCCAGCGTTATTTACAATTTCCAATTAGGTTTCCCATTTCACGAAGGCCACGGATAATTAACGAGTTCGCTAGCCAGGTGCACCGAGGACAATTGAGCCGCGTCGCGGCGGTGGCCGTGCTCGTGTTTCCAGATAAGGTCGCGGCGGTTCCATTCGGGTTCCTTCCTTCTGTCTATTACATGGGCCTTTCTCTCTCGCATCGCCGGTTTTTAATCAGGCTAGCTTTATCGACAACGGCCGGTTGTTACGCTGCGCGTCGACCCACGATCGGCGTGCCGACGACGACCTTAGGAAAACTTTGAGAAACGGGACCATATCCGCCGCCCCCGCGGCCAGTCCTCGCCGGTTTCACAACTCGTCCTCCGGAAACGGTCGGGAATGTCGAACGGAACAAGCTTCCTTCGATCGATAGGAATTTTTTTTTAAGTAAAATCAGATCCGAGCTTTCTTATTGCGATCGTAGTAGGTAAATACACGAGGCGATGGGAATTTGCGCGGGAAAATCGTCACCTGGATCGGCCTTTTTCGGGTCTCCCAACATGCAATCCTTGCCGAGACAGCAACGAAACTTAGGATCACCCTCCATCGGGAACATGCTGAATATCGCGACATCTTCGTCCTTCTCCTTCGCCCTCTTTATCCTCTCCTCGCCCACGGTCTTGGTCTGCAGGTGAAGCTTGGTGGACAGCCGTTCGCTGAGCGTGTCGGTGGCCATTATTCCGTGTTGTCTAAGTCTCTCTTTAAATCACCGTCGGTACAACAAACACAGGGGATTGCCGTGGGTTAGCTGTTGGAGAACCAGACCAGATTTTCTCACTCTCGATTCGCGATCGACACTGTCTCGAACGAACCAGCCAGGAGACGGAACAGGCGAGTTTCTTCTACGTCCATCGCGAGGACAGAGTCATGTTCAGTCATATAGATATACAGACTACCCTAGATGCTAATTGAAACTCTGTCCTCGCGGTGAGTTATTCTTTTGAATATTCTAACGTGATCAATATTCACTTCGTGGTTCTTAGAGAGAATCGTAGCCGAATCGAGATGAGAGAAAACCTGACGAACCTACCACGGGCTGATGTGTCGGTGACTCGCGCGCGCTGTCGCGACGAAAACACGACGAAAACACGGCGAAACAGACGTGGTACGAAATCAGGGGAATCGTGCGATTGGCCCGGAGTCTTGCGAGCCACTGAAGGCACCGAAGCCAGCCACACACACCGCTCTCGCTGGAGTCCTACCGTGGACGCCACGAGCACGCGCAACGTGCTCTTCTACTTCGCCGATAAGTTCGAGCCTTCCCGCTCTTCGGCCAGACACCACTCCACCATCCTGGATCTCATCCACGAATATTTATGTACATATATACATGTACATATACATATACGTCGATTCATGCACGGTCTTCCGTCCAGCGGATCGTTCTGTTCCCTTTCTCACCTAGATCCGTGCTCGACTTCCCCTTCTTTCGATGGAAGTTTAAAATCCAGATAGGTGTCGAGTTCGTTTGAAGTTTCACGTTCGATGTATTCACATCACCAGATTAATAGAGACGTCGAGGATTATCTCCCGTAGTCATCAGTTTATCTCACGCAATTGCAAAGGTAATTCCATTTGTCGCGTGACGCGAGTCGGTCTGTATCTGATCGATCAGTTGCTCCGACGATTATCTCACATAATCCTCGGATGATTAACAGAAACGTTAGAATTCATAGGTTATTCGAATCCTCGAGGTTTGCATACGAGCGAGAAGATTTATCGAGACGTGTTTGCGATACCTTTCTGATTTATAGATCGACCTTGAAAAGAAAGATACTGAACGAATCATGGCAAACGGCGTCGCTCACGCGATATAACCGATGCATTTAAATTGCATCCTCGACGACAGAGGACATTTTCCAGCCAATAGAGACCGTTCGATCTAAAGTGTATCAACGGGAATGATATAGACGCGGTTTCGACCTTCGAAAGAAAATCGAACGAATTTCAATTTTTCCCAAGGATGCACACGACCATGATATCGCAATAATGGCACGAAGCTGTCGAAGAATGCTACGTAAAGCTTCCGTAGAAAGGTCAGAAAGTAAATCGAAGATCGGAATAATCGCGATGCGATCGCGGCGAAGTCGGACACACGTTCCATAGGTCGATCCGTATACGGACACGCGGCTGGCACCGAAGTCATTCTCACGGACGATTCCTCCGGTAATTCTGTCCCTATCAGCCGCTCTTTATCCGTCTAACGGGGGAACATTAAAGATTTAACGAGAACACCCACGCGCCGTCGAAGCGAAATATCATGTCCGTCAGAGACACACACGAAAGTCTTCTCACCGCGAAATCGATGATCTATGGCCACCCGACTCGCTTTCACCGATCGCGTTGAAAATATTTCAGCTGGTACGATTCGTTCGACGCGACGTTCACGGGATTCGGCCGCTAGATAAATTCGCTTCAACTCGGCGATCGTACTTGACCGAATTACTCGCGACGTGCCTTTCCGCGGAAGTAGACGCCCTCGAGCGGACAGCCCTGCTTCTTTAAGAAATCCAACCTTTCGATGCTCGAACTTACGTTATTTCGATGAAAAATATTTACGTCTGGATTCAGTTACGACCATGCTAGATTCGGAGTAGGGTCGCAGATGTGAATCACGCGATAAATAATTCGTGGTAGATTCGAAAAAGTTTGCGAGGGGACGAACGGGAGAGTTGTCTCGAGTTTGTTATGCGAGTGGTTCAGAATCGAAAATGATCGCCAGGGGGTAATTGCTCGACGACACTTTCCAGCCCCCCAGATCCTTCCAACTCGACGCTCGCGTTACATTCTCAAGTTCGTTCGGAACATCGACGATAAACGTTTACGATCCCACGCGTACGCGAAACTTTTATGAAGCTCCGTCTACGCTCTATAGCACAACAGTGTTATATAACAAATTGTTATATAACCTTGCTATATATGACATGTTTTTATAACCTTTTGGACAGGTTTGTAAAGAAGTTCGTATAACATTTCGCATCTTATTAGTAACGATGGCGTGAAACGTTGAGAATGTAATTCCGGCGTTTTTTAATTCTCGCTGTAAAGCTGTGTCTACGCTATGTAACATAACATAACATAACATGACACATGGATAACGCACAATTTGCTGTAAAATACGAAAAATGTTATACAACATTTTTCTTTCTGTTTTCCTGGCAAATTTTATAACTCCGCTATAATAACGTGTTATGCTATATGTATAGTGTAGACGCAGCACAAGATTGCGCACGGGGGAGTACGTAAGAGTGTCGGGGCATCGTAAACTCGTATCTTATCGTGCTCGCGAACGATCTCCGGTCGTTGACTGCCCTTCTCTCATCTCCCTGCTTCTTTCGAGATGGTTCCAGATCTTTAGAAATTCGTCGATTCGCGTCTGCAAGCTTCTACCGAACCGCTATTCGATTCACGGTTTAGAGACGTAGGAGTTCGTCGGGTCTGTCCTTTTCGAAACGTGTCGCGATAATTGGCCCCGGTCTGGAGCGAGAGCCTTGACTCGGTTGCCTTAATAAGAAGCGCCGAATGCGAGATCTATAGACGGTCTCCCCAGATTTGGGATCGTGAATCATTGTTCGGGGTTCGTTGGCGATCGGAAACAGGTGGTTCCGAGACCTATCTTAACGCTCGTGTGGGCTAATGAGATATTTAATACTTTGACTGCCACGTCATCCGAATATGGATGACACGTACATTGCAAACAGGCTGAATTATTTAAATACCATTACCAAATATTGCGTAAAATTAATATTGCAGTATAATGTAAAACAAGACCGACAGCTTCTATTAAATTCAAACGGATATATTTGCGAGGATTTATGACTTGAAGAAGGAAATAAAGCGTGTCTGGCTACGTACGACCCTTTTCACTGCGCAAATCAACGTGTTAAAGAGCGATGTCCGTTTCGTAAATTGTGTTCACATCATTTTGTACACCCCCTAATCTTATGTCGTTGGTTCGTTAAGGTTGCAGATGGCTATACTGAGATTCCAAAACGAGAGTAGAATGGGACAGGTTGCTTACCAGCACGGAAGATCTCGCCGCATCCATCGCAACGGCTGGCGAACTGGGCGTCGTAACAGTTGCCGCAGTAGATCTTGTCTACCTTGCTACCGAACTGTTTGTCCACCAAGGACACTCTGCACCTGTTGCAGAGGAAGCAGGCCTCGTGCCAATGCTTGTCCTTGTACGACAGATCCTGAAAACGAGAAACGAATTATACAGCCTCTGTCCGCCAAAAGAATAGATCTCGAAGAATCGAAACGTAAAAAGAAAAATGAAAAGAAAAAAAGAACACATTGGGACTGAACGACATCAAGGTTTGCGTGGACGTTTGCCGTGCCTAGAGTAATATTGACACACTGACAAGGTTTTTCTCGAGAGTCGAGGAAACGTTAACGAGGTCTCGGTCGCGTTAAGGAAACGCTGAACGATCGAGATCGAGGCAAACACGAGAGGATTCTTCGCCATCGCGCGCCGCTCGTTCAAGCATAATGAAAATACGCGTTCGACGACCAAAATATCCGCCGCGGTATTTACAAATCTTACTTCGAAATCGTAAACATTGGTCGAATCGATTAGACGTTTGAGCATGCATCGAGAATCGCGATCCACGAGTTTCCATTTCTGGAACGATTATAATCGCGAACTCGACCTCTAAGACAAGCTCGTGCGTCGTTCCATCGAGGAAAAGGAACGCGAATCCTTGGATCCGAAGCGTCGCAACAATTTCATTCGTGGACGCCGGATTCGGTCATGGAAACTTCCGAAAAAGAAAAAGGAGAATAACCACGCCTCGTGGCTGGTATTCGGCTGATTTCTGCGCGGCCACGGTGGAAGTAGGAGGAACGGGAATGGCGAACCCGCGGGCCGACAAACGGAAATAAGCTCTCGAAGCCGATATGGCCGGCAGCACCTGCATCATCGTTTCTATTTCTAGGAATGAGTAAGTCAACGCCCATGTGCCTTGCTCGCGTATCGCCACCTCGTCCCGTGATTATACACGAACCGATAATTACCGATTCGCACGCGAAACACGAGAAACTCTTTCCTGAAAAAGGAACATTGCAACGTATGACGTATATATTTCCGAAACAACGGCGGCGTGCCGAGAGACTTCGACGATTGTGTTTGGTACACGGCGGTGATACGGACTCGAATTTCAGGGAAAACCTAGTCCCATCCTGATTTTACACTATTGGACTGCATCCAAAGTTGCACGTCGCGTTTCTCGGCCGGTCTATCTAGAGGAGACAGTCTGTACAGAGGATGTATCCCCACGAGCAAACTCGGCTTTTGCTAGGGGAAAAAGTGGTGTAAGAGGAGGGCCTCCTACCAGGTGGTAAATTGATTTTAGGTACTGAAATAAATGTTAAATCGGATGTTAATTTTGCATAAATTTCAGTAATTCGCAATACCAAGTGGTAGGAGCATGGTAGAAGGTCCCTTCCTCTGTCACTTTTTCCCCCTAGTGGAAGCCGAGTTTGCTCGTGAGTGTACAAGAACGAGGCAGGAGATAGAACGTATCGAGGGAAAACGGGAAAATCTTTGGGCAAACGAGGTCGTTGAGTCAATCAGTTTTATCGCTAATTGATCGACAGATATCGTGGAATAATCGACAAGGACGCGTACCTTCGAGTCGATACCGATGATTTTGTTGCACTCCTCGCAGCCATTCGCGAAAACGCTCTCGTAGCACGTGATGCAGTACGGATGTTCGTCCCTGAGCACGTAACGCTGCCCGGTCAGAGACTCGTCGCACTGCCAGCAACAGAAATGGCCGCTGTGCCAGTCCTTGTTCATCGCCTTCGTGTACTCGCCACTGAAAATCAACTGGAAAACCAAAGAAAATAAAAAAACGTGTCGAGTTTAGGGAGAATTTTTCACGCGTGCACGAGTTCTCTGAAAACTCTGTTGCGGTTAGACCCGATCCACTGGATTAGTTACAGTTTGATCGTTAACACGAGGTGACGACAATAGCATAACACTATCGAGAAACGGGATAATCAGCAACGATTCTCAGCAACGTCCCCGGAGTTAGAACGCGAGCACACACACGATAGCGATACGAAAAGTTTGTTTTTTTTTTTTTTTTTTTTGTGGTAACGCTCCTCTCACAGCATCGTATACATGTACGATTGTTCATTTCCGTTTCACGAATCCTTCCCAAATCACGAACGCGAAATAGCTCCTCGCAATCTCTCTCGTCTAACTGTTTCTTTTTACGTGCTGTATACAGTGTCTCGCGTTTTCGATGTTCGTAGATAGATTCTTTGGCTGGTAAATATGTACCTTGGATGAGTGCTGTTGTATGTGCTGGCTGAGTATTTCTTGTAAGGGAGCATATATATATATATATATATATATATATATTTATAAGAAAAATATATTCATGTAATGGTGAGGCATGTATCGCGTGAATCTTAGCTCCTGTGAGAGAATAGCGTCGAACAAATAGGGCGAGAGGCAGCTCCGCCACCCTCTGGATCCATCGTAATCGCGGACAGAGTTAGATATTCCCTAAAACCCCTTCGATCGTCCGATAAACTTCGATCTAGTCACGGTGGGTGGAGATTCGAATGAGACACGACCGGATGCTCGTAAATCCATGGAAACGGGAGACGTTCGCCGCGGGGAGCCGTGTCGACATTTTTGTGTCGCGAAAAACGAAAAGGAGAGGAAAAAGGACGAAACGGATCGAACGGTAGCGTGGCAACGAGAAGACTTTTGCTTCTTCGGGGAATGTAGGTCGCGTCGCGAAAGCAAATACCGTTCCCCCGGCTGGGGATAGCTTGTTTTCGTCTTGCGAAACATCGATTCCGAACGGTTTCAAGTGAATACACCCAAGAATATCCGAAATCCTAGATATATGGTAATAACCTAATGGTAATAAACCCATTACTACTCCCGTGTGTTTTAACCCCCTGAAGAGACCATTCGAAACAACTGAACGGTTAAACCACGTTTATCCATCGGTGTCCATCGTGGTCCAACGATCACGACGATGCCGATCTCACACGCTGCCAGGCGGAAATCGCGATCCTTCGGGTGGCCGAGCAAGCTCGAAAAACGGGGGGTTGTTAGCGATCGCAAACGGAAAGCTCGTGGATCGACGAGAAAAAAAATCGGGATATCCCCCCCCCCTCCCCGTTCGCCCGATATTCCCGGCACATCTGCAGCCAGCACATACTCTTCGATGGCGTGATGGTTGTTCTGCGTGCTGTCGACCTCGGTGATCGTGACCTCGGCGTTCTGATCGTGGCTCTCCCTGCGCTTGGTCGTCTTCTTCACTTTGCGAACCTTGCGCTCGGTGGTCGTGTACACTACACTGTCTACGTCCGCCATTCTCGGTTTCGTGTGGTCGGTTTAGGTGTTTCTCTCGCGGGTCTGTATCGTCTGCTGCTCACCGGACCGATCTCGATCGCGATCTGATATAATACTCTGATGGTATCCGTCCACGGGGAAGAAACGAGGATAGAGAGGAGTGGCCAGGGGATCCGGGAACCGGTGGGTCGCGTGTCTTCCCGTCCAGGAGATGAAAAGAACACGCTCGAGAGAACAGGAGTAACAGGAGTGAGCGAGAAGATACGGTGGTTCTCGTGGTCGCTATGGAAATGGGATGAAACCGGAGCGGCGTCTCTGGTCAGAGTGGAGTGTTCCGTGTTACCCAGCAGCTTTCGAGCTTGCGAACTGACTGAAATCTAGGATCGGCCCGCTCCGGGCGTCATCATATCGGGACGCTATTTTCGGCGTCCCGACGACTCCAGAAACGCGCCGCACCGCGCGTCCTCCGCCACCCTCTTCGCTCGCCCCGCTCGTCTCGGTGGCCCTCTCTTCCGCCTCCTTCCCCCAACAGCGTTTTCTTCTCCTTCCACGAGAATTCTCGATGCAGTGTGCCGGGTGCAACTTTTCTACGACACCCCTCTTTCTCTCTCGAACGGACGACGGTGTGTCGTCCGCCACTCCTTTCCTCCTGGTCACCGATGGTTGCCTTCTCGTTAGCGGTTCTCGAACGGCGCGGGCGACAGGTTACAGGACACCGGAGGGGAGCGGAAGATCGCGCACGGAAATCCATCCTTCTCTCCGGTTTCCCCCCTCCTGTTTCTTGAGACGTTTGTTTTTCTCTTTTCTTCTTGAATGTTCCTTTTTCCTTTTCTTTTTTTTTTTTTTTTCTCTTCCCTCGCCACTTCTGGGAGGAAGATATTTCTGGACCCTGACGTAGCGCCTCCCCTCTAGCGCGAGACGAGAAGCAGTGTCGACTCGTGATTCGCGGATTCCAGAGGCGAGATCGTTTCGACTGTTACCGGATAGTCGGGGATCGTTTGAGCTTTCCGTTTGCGATCGGATCGGTTCGACGGATCCTTGATCGATGGAAGGATCGTCGAACCTCGCGAAAATCAATCAAAACTGGATTGTTTACTGGTTCAGAACTTACCAGGTATCATGCATAATTATGGAATCGAAAGCTTGCGGTCTAAAATGCGGGAACCGAGGGCACGAGAGCTCCACGGTATTTCAGTCGACCTTAATCGACGCGAATAATTCGCATTGTCCGAACGGCTGGCAGAGAATAGGAGCAGTAAACATTGTTCGTGGACTAACGCGAAGAAGCGTAAACGCGGATCGTTTATGGTTCGTCGAGGTCGTAGGAGTCTAAATCCGAGATCTCGAGAACGAAAACGCGGTTCTTTTCAGTCAAAGAAATCGCGAGTAAAATGGATTTGGGAAGAAGGTTGGAACCGAAGGGACGTGCACGATCAAAGGCGTTTGTCACGGATCGAGCGGTTTCCTGAAACGTCGACCGTCAGAGCGACGACGCCTTGATCGCGTGCCAAACAGGTGGTTCCTGGTTGGCGGGAAGGGGGTGTTGTATCCGCCGCGAAAAATAGAGAAGAAATCCCCGGTGTAATTGGGTCGGAATGTTTCACACATCACCAATACCTTCGTCCACCCACGTAACCACCCGTCATCCTTCTCGCGATACTAATCATTCTTCGGGCAGGGAATAAATTCGACGAATTGTTTTGCAGGGAGAACGGTACGATTTGGCGAACACAGGCGAAAATAAACCTAAGTCCTCGTAGTCACGATTATTATTCGTCTCTTCGCGTGGATCCGCGAGTGATTAATAGTCCACGCGGATATGACTGTGCCGGTTAAAACGAAAACAAAACGTAATCCCGATGAATTTTCCGAAAAATTTATACCAGCTGAATAATCAGGATTTCACGGTGAATATCGCCTCCCCCTCATCATCGTCGCTGGAATGCTTCAGGAACGCCGTTGCGTGTTATAAATAGGCTGGAAAATGAAAATCGTCCGTGACAGGTCGTAATCGCCCACGCGAACCGGAGAATCGCATCGGGTGGTAACATAATATCGACGAAGGGGTCCGGAAGAGGCGCGATACGTCCGATTAAAAATACAACGTCTGAGAAAAAATCGGGTCGACCAAAAAAGCGGGATACCGGCCGCCGCGGCTGGATCTTTCGACGATACCCAGTGGTATAGGATCGATTTTCGGCCGACCACCTTCATGATTCAGTTCTGTGAGGAATCCAATCGATGATCGATATCCGTCACGATGTTTCTACATCTGTTTAAATTAATTATTACCATCATTTCGCGATGCAATCATCTTCTACGGAAATTAAAATTTTATCATTCGACAGGAAGTACGAAGAACTTTCGACGACAGATATAAGTGAATTTTTTAAGCGTGTACTATAGAAACTGTGAGGTGTCGAACAGTCTAAAAATCCCATTGGGTCATCGATTGAAAAAAATAAATCGCAACTCCACGCCATTGCACCAAGGAAAATCCTCTCAAAGTGTCCCCTCTCGCGTAAACGTCGAGACTCGAGAGCCGCGATATATACGTATATTATTTGCAGACCGGCATGAGATTGATATTTTGGGAGACCCCACGCGAGCCACACGGCACCAATAAACGCCACGGATCGCAGGAGAGTGTTTCGTGCGAACATCGGGCCGGATTTTCTTGCCCCGTCGCGGCTAGCAATTTTTCTTTTTTGCCACGACGACAACCACGACGGTGTGAAAGCTTTCCAACAATTGTTTCCCAACGTGTTTGGAAATAACAATTCGCGGCGAACCGTGCCCATTCGACCGCGCCTGGTCCCACCCTCGACAGCCAGCCAGATAACGTTTTCTGCTCGCGAGACCCGAAAGTTTTTATCGCGGCGCGCGAGTCGCAATAAAACTCGGCGTTGATTCGATAAAACGAACGAGGTGAGATTCGATACCGAGCGTCTGTCGAGTATAATTCGGTGAACCACAGCATCGTTGGTATCCTGGTCGAGAACCATTCGTCGTCGCTTCGCGAGCACGTAAATTTGACGAATGATGACCGCAGGAATCTTGCATTGCCAGGCCCCGAGAGCTTTGTGAGTATGTATTACACGAACGAATGTTTAAAGACATATTTTAGTACATCTAACACACGAAACAGAGGGAGAACACATTGATATGTTATTGACAATTGGATGAAAAATCGAAATCGACGAAGTTCTAGCTTTCCCTGGGGAAGTGCTGATCGAAAAAGTGAACATGAAATTGTTAGCATTGAAATATCGATAGCATACTTGTTTCGCGTGAAATTAATAAACCAGGGTTCGAATTCCGCGAGGGACACAAAATTACTCTTCTAATTTATCTATGAAACCTCACAAAATACTTGGGGCGATTACCAATCTATATCTCACAATATCTTCTAGCAGAAATAATTACACGATTAATACTGGTAATGTGTTACTAACACCTAATGGTTCAGTAGAGTGATTGTAAGTGAATACATGGGAAAGAGTGTGTGC